TCCTGTATACCGGGCCAGGTAAGTCAACATCTCATAGCCACCGTGATGATGATGAGAGAGACGCAGACTCCACATCGTCAGGGTCGGGATTGAACCTACGACCTCCTGTGTACCAGGCGAGGTAACTCAACATCTCATAGCCACCGTGATGATGATGAGAGAGACGCAGACTCCACATCGTCAGGGTCGGGATGGAACCCACGACCTCCTGTAGACCAGGCGAGGTAACTCAACATCTCCATAGCCAGCGCAGCGCCTCGCGGTGCCGTGCCAATGGGGCAGTGCCAGCCAGCCAGCCAGCCCGCCCGCCCGCCCGCGCTGCAACGAGGCGGTAAGAATTTCCGGCAGCAGCGCATAGGGGGCGAGAGACGGCCACACGCCGCACAGGCGACTTTTACGTGGGCAAGCCACCCCCCAACCCCACCCCACCCCAGCCGGCAAATCACGCGACATCCGAGAGAGAGATCGCGGACAATATTTTTTCACAGGAGCAGCAGTTTCGAGAGGCACACATTGAGGAGGAGGAAGAGGAGGCGGCAGCAGCAGCAGCAGCATACCGTACGACGTGCAAGGCGTAGTAGGTTCGTCGGAAACGGCAGCCTGCGAGTAAATGATGGGCGGAGGGATCGATTGTTTGAATTGATTCTCCTCGTAAAAGCTAAAAAAAAAGCAAAGCAATCAACGTCGACGACGATTCATTAAAAGTTGAGGGGGGTGGGGGTTACCCGATCGTAAAGCGATCTTCCATCTCCCGCCGATTCTCGATTCGCTCAGCGTCGCGATTCAGACGCCAGTCGACTCCGCGGGTGTCCGACGAGCGCGAGACGACGGCTCGCCGTGATTTGCCTAGCGTCGGGAATCGATCGCGTGGGAATGGCGGCCTCGATCTCTCGATTCTCCGGCTTGTGGTTTCGCGTGCGAGCGATGCGATTGGTGAAGCGCGCGACCAATCGCGACGCGGCTAGCGACCGTTATTCGGATGCTGGGAATCTGATTGGACGGCGTAGATTTCAAATTTCGCGCGCTTTTCAGAGCACGTGACTCATCGACTTACGAACACTCGACTTACGGACACCCAACTTACGAACATCCGACTTACGAACTTTCAGAGATACGAACAAACCTGTGAGCATGAGAGATTGCACTCTCATGCTCACATTGTCTTTTGGATTGCACTCTCATGCTCGCGTGCCCTCTAATTTCTCACATTAACAATAATGCTAATTTTTTCACATTAACATCATGCTAACTTCTCACATTAACATCATGCTAACTTCTCGCATTAACATCATGCTAATTTCTCACATTAACATCATGCGAACTTCTCACATTAACATCATGCTAATCCCTCACATTAACATAGCCACTCCCGTGCCCTCTAACTTCTCACATTAACAATCATGCTAACTTCTCACATTAACAATCATGCTAATGTCTCACTTTAACATCATGCTAATTTTTCACATTAACATCATGCTAACTTCTCACATTAGCAATCATGCTAATCCCTCAAATTAACATAGCCACTCCCGTGCCCTCTAATTTCTCACATTAACAATAATGCTAATATCTCACATTAACATCATGCTAATCTCTCACAATTAACATAGTCACTGCCGTGCCCTCTGATTGCTCACATTAACATCATGCTAATCTCTCACATTAACATCATGCTAACTTCTCACATTAACATCATGCTAATCTCTCACATTAACATCATAACTTCTCACATTAACATCATGCTAACTTCTCACATTAACATCATGCTAACTTCTCACATTAACATAATACTAATCTATCGCATTAACATAACCACTCGCGTGCCCTCTATTTTCTCACATTAACAATCATGCTAACGTCTCACATTAACATCATGCTAACTTCTCACATTAACAATCATGCTAATGTCTCACATTAACATCATGATAACTTCTCACATTAACATCATGCTAACGTCTCACATTAACATCATGCTAATTTCTCACATTAACAATCATGCTAATCCCTCACATTAAAATAGCCACTCCCGTGCCCTCTAACTTCTCACATTAACAATCATGCTAACTTCTCACATTAACATAGCCACTCCTGTGCCCTCTAATTTCTCACATTAACAATCATGCTAACTTCTCACATTAACAATCATGCTAATGTCTCACATTAACATCATGCTAACTTCTCACATTAACAATCATGCTAATGACTCACATTAACATCATGCTAATTTCTCACATTAACAATCATGCTAATCCCTCACATTAAAATAGCCACTCCCGTGCCCTCTAACTTCTCACATTAACAATCATGCTACCTTCTCACATTAACATAGCCACTCCTGTGCCCTCTAATTTCTCACATTAACATCATGCTAACTTCTCACATTAACAATCATGCTAATGTCTCACCTTAACATAGCCACTCCTGTGCCCTCTAATTTCTCACATTAACATCATGCTAACTTCTCATATTAACAATCATGCTAACTTCTCACATTAACAATCATGCTAATGTCTCACATTAACATCATGATAACTTCTCACATTAACATCATGCTAACTTCTCACATTAACATCATGCTAATCTCTCGCATTAACATAGCCACTCCCGTGCCCTCTAATTTCTCACATTAACAATCATGCTAATCCCTCACATTAACATAGCCACTCCCGTGCCCTCTAATTTCTCACATTAACAATCATGCTAACTTCTCACATTAACAATCATGCTAATCTCTCACATTAACATCATGCTAACTTCTCACATTAACAATCATGCTAATGTCTCACATTAACATCATGCTAATGTCTCACATTAACAATCATGCTAACTTCTCACATTAACATCATGCTAATGTCTCACATTAACAATCATGCTAATGACTCACATTAACATAGACATTTACGTGCCCTCTAATTTCTCACATTAACATCATGCTAACTTCTCACATTAACATCATGCTAATGTCTCACATTAACAATCATGCTAATGTCCCACATTAACATATACATTTCCGTGCCCTCTAATTTCTCACATTAACATCATGCTAATCTCTCGCATTAACATAGCCACTCCCGTGCCCTCTAATTTCTCACATTAACAATCATGCTAATCCCTCACATTAACATAGCCACTCCCGTGCCCTCTAATTTCTCACATTAACAATCATGCTAACTTCTCACATTAACAATCATGCTAATCTCTCACATTAACATCATGCTAACTTCTCACATTAACAATCATGCTAATGTCTCACATTAACATCATGCTAACTTCTCACATTAACAATCATGCTAATGTCTCACATTAACATCATGCTAACTTCTCACATTAACAATCATGCTAACTTCTCACATTAACAATCATGCTAATGACTCACATTAACAATCATGCTAACTGACTCACATTAACATCATGCTAATGACTCACATTAACAATCATGCTAACTTCTCACATTAACAATCATGCTAATGACTCACATTAACAATCATGCTAATGACTCACATTAACATAGACATTTACGTGCCCTCTAATTTCTCACATTAACATCATGCTAACTTCTCACATTAACAATCATGCTAACTTCTCACATTAATAATCATGCTAATGACTCACATTAACAATCATGCTAATGACTCACATTAACAATCATGCTAATGACTCACATTAACAGACATTTACGTGCCCTCGTTAAGGAGGCCGCTTTCCTATCTTACAGTTACACGCTAATTTCGATAAAGCCACGTAGATAGAAAAATAATAAAAATTAATAAATAATAACAACATGACGACGTTTCGGTCGCAGCACGGCCAATCGTCATCGGGTGAAAAATATCAGGAGGGCTGCTGGGGCAGGAAAAATAAATATTGTGTTGTGGCCGAAACGTCGTGATTTTTGTTATTTTATTTTTACCTACGTGACTTTACCGAATAGAGCCAAAGAGTATGGATCCTTGCAGTCACGAAAGCTTCAAATGTAGAATTAAAAAAATATAATAATGTTGTATCATTCTTACTCCATGCCCCGACTGGACATCAGTCAAGAAGAGCTGCTGCATAGCACGTTGGATGCCTCCTGTAGTATGAATACAATATACACAGGAGGCATTACAGCAAGAACATTTGAAAAAAAAAGTGGCGGTTTCTTTAACGTTTTTTTTACGTTTAAAAAAAACGCCACTTTTTTCAAAATTTCTTGCTGTGGTTTTCACACCTGATGATGATTGCTTGTGTTGCAGTCGAAACGTCGTGAGAATTTTATTGTTTTATATTTGTATTATTTTATTGTTTCCCTTCTAACGTGGTGACTTTACCGAAAGAACCAAGAATATGAATCCCTGCACGAAAGCTTCCCTCACGAAAGCTTTAAATCAAAATTTAATATACATTATGTTATTAATTTTATCCCGTTACAGCTGTGCCTATAAACATTAACATAATTTACTATTCATTTTGTCATTAATTGTTTCCGCTTACAGCTAGGCCTATAAAATTAACATAATTTATAACTCATTCCGTCATTCATTGTATCCTGTTACAGCTGGGAAACATTAACATAATTTATCACGCAATTTGTTATTCATTTTATCCTGTTACACCTGGGCCGATATAAAAAAACATTAACATAATTTATCACAATATGTTATCCATTTAGTCCTGTTACACCTGGGCCTATACAAAACATTAACATAATTTATCACACAATGTTATTCATTTTATCCTGTTACGGCTGCTTTCACAATAGGGGGGGTTGGGTCGGTGACGTCATTCTCGCGCCATATTGGGTAGGGGGGGCGCTGCTTCCACAATAGGGGGCGGAAGGGGAGGGGCTGGGTCGGTGACGCCACACCCGCGCCATATTGGGTGGGGGGGAGGCGCTGCCTCCACAATAGGAGACAAAAGCGGGCTTGTGACGTCGACGTCACACCCGCGCCATATTGGGTGGGGAGTGTGCGAGGGACGTCACAACCCCCCTCTCTCCCCTTACCAACATGGCAACCGCGGTTCGCTGTAACGGTTTGGCGGGAAACCTTAGAAACCAAAGATGGCGTCCCGCGGCTGAGGCGCGAGCGGAGGGCGGGAAATCGGCGAGCGGCGCTTTTGTGAGGCGGGTGGAAATTAAAAAATAAAATCTAAACGTACAAAACAAAAACGTCGACCAACAGGACCGGCGTCTTTGCCTTCGATGTCAACGCGAGCGACGGCAGCGGACGACGACGACGGCGGCGGCGGCTGCAATGTCGCACTCGGATAACAAATCGCCTAACGTTTTGCTGCAGAGTCTCTGTTGTCAGATACTTGGCAAGAGCGAATGTGAGTTGCGTGTGAGGGTGGGGGAGATGGTCGTTGTTAAATTTATTGTTTTTGTTGTCTTCGTTAAACGTTTGGTTGTTTGGTCGTTATTGTTGTCTTAAACGTCGCGCAATGTTTAATTGTGTTCCGGCTCGGGCTTGTCATCCGGGGTGGTTATTTACGTTGTTAAGGCCGCCATACGTCCATGCATTCATAGTGCATTTTCATAGTTTCATTTATTTGGTATGGCCCCTGTGAGCCATTCGGCTCTTGAATCGGGTGCAGCCGCAACAAACAAAAAACATGAACAAGAAAAAAACATCTTAAAGTGACTATGTGTGTGACTGTGCAAAACAGAAAATACAGTAAAAAATATCCAAATATTCCTGAAATAGCACCGTACATCAACGCTGTGTGCAAAAATCCCAGTGGGATGCAAGTCAAAATAACAACAAGACAACTAAGATTAAAGCCATCAGTCTAACTCCGTACTACAATAAACAAAAACATGGCCAAAACAAACAAAAAAAACTTTTCGAAATCACCAAAATAAAAGCCATAAATTCAATGTAACAGTGATCATAGGAACTGCGACCGAATTTTTTGTTAACAACAAACTACATAACTAAATTATAACACCAAAATCTAGAGCCATATTTTAAGGCCACCGAATAGCAGTGGCAGCTAGGGGTTGTACAACTCCTTCTAGAGCAGTTTTGAGTGAAGATCTCATAGGTAGTGATTCAAGTTGCAGTTTATTGGCAATGGCATTCGCCAGGTCTCTCCGTTCACGTAACAGTAACAACAACAACAACACCCAGCTGAGTTTCCGCACTAATCTCTCTCTCTGTTCCGCCTGATGAAGCTGGTTGTGGTTGCAATTAGTGGTGAGACGTACTCAGATTTTAAATGTTGCGGCTTTTTGCTCTCACAACACACAACCGGTGTAGTGCTTGACTAGTATACTACACTATACACTACACTATTATACACCTACACTATATACTACTATACACTACACTAGATACTATTATACACCTACACTATATACTACTATACACTACACTATATAATACACTATACGCTACACTGTACACTACACTACTATACACTACACTACTATACACTACACTATACACTACACTATACACTACACTATATACTACTATACACTAAACTATACACTACACTATACACTACTATACACTACACTATATACTACGATACACTACACTATACACTACACTATATACTACTATACACTAAACTATACAGTACACTATACACTGCACTATACACTACACTATACACTATACACTACACTATACACTACACTATACACTACACTACACTATACACTACACTATACACTACACTACACTATACACTACGATACACTATACACTACACTACACTATACACTACTATACACTACACTATACACTACACTGCACTATACACTACGATACACTATACACTACAATACACTATACACTACACACTAGTGCTGTACTAGTAACGCGGCAAACCCCTTTCACTGATTGGCCGTGTCGGGTGATGGCGGCTTCAACGACACAACATTTATATATTCACGCGATATTGCTCGCAACAGCCTACGTGTTACACTGTCTGTTGAACTTCTTTCACGCCGTACGTAGCCCACCATTCATTATAGTAAGCGGTGCGTCGTAGATTTGCCTCTGCTGTTATATTTTAGTTCATAGGAATGGTACGCGTCTGACGGTGGCCACGTCCGGCGTGGAGATGGAGCCGTGAGTGGCAGCAGGTCACTGCGTGTACACACGGTACATGATTGTGTGTGTCTGTGTGTACGTGTGTGTGTGTGTACGTGTGTGTGTACGTGTGGGGAGCGATAGTGTAACGGTTAGCGCTACGCTGCGCTATGAACCCGGTGACACGGGTTCGATTCCCGCTCACGGCCAACACCAGTGACGATTATCTGAACCGGTCCCGGACCTCCCCTAGGTCGACTCAGCCTCAAATGAGTACCTGGTGCAGTGTGTAAACATTGCCACTAGGGAGACAAAGGCGGTCGGGCGTGATGCTGGCCACCCACCCCCTCGTGTACCGTTCCGGCCTTCATAGGTGCTCGCTAACAGCACTTGCCCCTACAGTCTGTTAAGGCTACACGGGGGATCTTTATCTTTGTGTACGTGTGTGTACATGTGTGTGTGTGTGTACGTGTGTGTGTGTGTACATTTTAGTCGTAGTTTGGTGGTGTGGTCATGACCGGCTCCAGTTTAACAGCAGAGGTCTCACTCCGAATCAGTCGAGCGGCAATATCTTTTCATCGGTTGCGTACCGCTGTGTGGAAGCTACCTGGTCTGTCGCTCCGCACTAAGCTTCAGGTCTTCTCGGCCACGGTCATTCCCTCCCTTCTCTACGCTTGCAAAACGTTGACACCCCTAATGGAACATCTTCGCCGGTTGGAAACATTTAGGCTGGCCTGCCTACGATCACCCTATGTGCTCCCTCGCTATTTGTTTTTTTTACACCTGATGAAGGTCGCTTGTGTTGCAGTCGAAACGTCGTGATTGATTCATTCTAATATAATTTATACATACGTGACTTTACCGAAAAAACCAATGAGTCATTTGTGCAGTCACGAAAGCTTTAATTCTCTAGGTATGGTAAAGTCACGTAGAAGGGAAATAGTAAAAGTAAAAAAACAATAAAATTATTGCGACGTTTCGAAAGGTTTGGTACTTGCCCCAGAAAGTTTTTACCGAGGCGACGCGGTGGGACCTCTTTTTGTCTTTGTGTCTGTGTGTGTGTGCGTGCGTAAACAGCGGAGATTGGGCACCAGTTTCAGTATGCGGTGCGCGTCATCGGAAGCAGCTTCACCCCCACGGTGGAGCGAGATGAGTTCCTCGTGGCCGAGAAGATCAAGAAGGAGCGTGAGTGGCCGCTGGGAGGGGGGAGGGGCTTACGATGGCCGTGTCGGAGACACGGAGCCAGCACCGCTTTAGACTTTTTTGGGTTCCGATCCCTGGGTCCGGGCGGCAGGAGGTTGAGAAAGATGGCTGGAGAGTTTTTGGGGCGTCTCCCGCTCGGAGGGTTCCTAATGGCTGCGTCAAGATTTCGTACCGGTCAACCCCCGTACGGTTTACCCCGTATTCTTGTGCAGGGAAATCTTGGCTTGAGGCTTTCGCGACTGCAGGAATGCAAAATCCCCGGGTCTTTCGGTAAAGACACGTGGATGGAAAAACGATACAACTGTCGCGACGTTTCGATCGCAACACAAGCAATCGCCTTCAGGCGAGAGGGGACGATTGCTTGTGTTGCGAGCGTGTCTCTCTCTCTCTCATCATCATCATTATTACGGTGGCTATGAGATGTTAACTACCTCGCCTGGTCTACAGGAGGTCGTGGGTTCGATCCTGACGCTGACGCCTGTATCATTGGAATTTCCACGTGTCTCTCTTTCTCTCTCTCATCATCATCATCACTGTGGCTAGGAGATGTTAACTACCTCGGCTGGTATACAGGAGGTCGTGGGTTCGATCCCAACCCTGATCACGACTGCTGTATATTTGCAGTCTGCGTGTGTCTCTCTCTCATCATCATCACGGTGGCTATGAGATGTTAACTACCTCGCCTGGTATACAGGAGGTTGTGGGTTCGATCCCGACCCTGACACCTGTATCATTGGAATTTCCACGTGTCTCTCTCTCATCATCATCATCACTGTGGCTATGAGATGTTAACTACCTCGCCTGGTCTACAGGAGGTCGTGGGTTCGATCCCGACCCTGACGCCTGTATCATTGGAATTTCCACGTGTCTCTCTCTCTCATCATCATCACTGTGGCTATGAGTTGTTAACTACCTCGTCTGGTATACAGGAGGGCGTGGGTTCAATCCCGACCCTGACGCCTGTATCATTGGAATTTCCATGTGTCTCTCTCTCTCATCATCATCATCACTGTGGCTATGAGATGTTAACTAACTCGCCTGGTCTACAGGAGGTCGTGGGTTCGATCCCGACCCTGACGCCTGTATCATTGGAATTTGCATGTGTCTCTCTCTCTCATCATCATCATCACTGTGGCTAAGAGATGTTACCTACCTCGCCTGGTCTACAGGAGGTCGTGGGTTTGATCCCGACCCTGACGCCTGTATCATTGTAATTTCCACGTGTCTCTCTCTCATCATCATCACTGTGGCTAGGAGATGTTAACTACCTCGCCTGGTCTACAGGAGGTCGTGGGTTCGATCCTGACCCTGATCACGACAGCTGTATATTTGCAGTCTGCGTCTCTCTCTCATCATCATCACTGTGGCTAGGAGATGTTAACTACCTCGCTTGGTCTACAGGAGGTCGTGGGTTCGATCCCGACCCTGACGCCTGTATCATTGTAATTTCCACGTGTCTCTCTCTCTCAGCATCATTACTTGTGGCTAGGAGATGTTAACTACCTCGCCTGGTCTACAGGAGGTCGTGGGTTCGATCCCGACCCTGACGCCTGTATCATTGTAATTTCCACGTGTCTCTCTCTCTCTCTCTCCCCGTGGTCGCGTGGATTTTCCTCCGGACCCTCGAGTTTTTCCCCCCTCCGTATTTAAAATCACCGTCACGTGTTTAGAGTTTTTTTGCCGCTTTACATTTCCACGTGACGAGCCGCTGCATTTCGCTATTATTTGTGGCCAGGCCGCTCCTGAAAAAAACAGCTAATGCCTCAGTGGTCCTTACCTGGTAAAATAAAAAAAATCGTTGAATAGTTTTGGTGGTGTCCTCGTGTCTCGTACGCCGATTGTTGTTGTGATTTTCCATGTTCTGCCGACCACGCTCAGTCGCCAAACAGAAGCGCGAAGTGGACGCGGCGCTGTTTTCCGAGCTCCACCGGAAGCTACAAACACAGGTGACGGCAAAAAAAAACAGCCTCCTCCTCCTCCTCCGTCCACTCTGCGGAATTCCCTCCCATCGTCTCATCTCCCACCGAAGCTGTCGTCGTAAAACCAGGGGTTGGGGAACCTTTTTTCTGCCGAGGGCCATTTGGATATTTGTAGCATAATTCGCGGGGCCGTGAAAAAATGATCAGCTTAAAAATCAGCCCGTTATATTTGGTCAAACATTTACTACTGTGTAGGAACCTCCTGGTCACACCACCAGCCCACAGGGGATTATTGTGTCCGTCCGTCGTGCATCCAAAAATGGGAGAGGGGTGGGGCTGGCTGGAGAGGGGAGGGTGGGGAGGGGCTGGGTTGGGGAGGGAGGGGAGGGGCTGGGTGGGGAGGGGATGGTGGGGAGGGGCTGGGTGGAGAGGGGATGGTGGGGAGGGGAGGGAGGGGAGGGGCTGGGTGGGGAGGGTGGGGAGGGAGGAGCTGGGTGGGGAGGGTGGGGTGGGGCTGGATGGGGTGGGTGGGGCTGGGTGGGGGGTGGGTGGGGCTGGGTGGAGAGGGGCTGGTCACCCCGTGGTGCCCCCCTTATAAAACTCAACGTTTCACCAACTCACGCCGGCTTGTGCCCGCCCTCACAGTGGGGCATATTGTGCGGGATACACCACCACCACGTGGTGGTGCTGCCGCAGTTGACCCTGGCCATTGACCGAGCAACCCAACGTTCCTACCAGCTCCTCCCTCAGCAGGAATGTGTTTAACTCGCCCCTTAATGCGATGGCTGGGACTGCTTCCCTTTGGTGAGCCGTGGTGGTGACGTTAGCCGGTATTGACGACGTCGCTGCTACTCGCGACTGCTCTCCCGGGTTTGCTCTCCTAGATGCGTTGAATTTCGAGTCCCGCCTGCGGTTGCCTTGGCAGGGGGCCAGAGACCCAAATGATTTCGCGGGCCTCGTCCGGTCCGCGGGCCGAACATTCACCACCCCTGTCGCAAACCTTGCTCACCCCGAGGAAATTGTCAACTCTTCACCTGTTACAGCTGCGATGAGTGTGATGTTTGTGAGCTGGACGCTGGGCCGTTTCGGATCTTGGGGCCAATGTTCAGCAGCCTATGGGTACGGACGGCAGAAGGAAACCAGAGCGTGCGAGGGGGCAACACCTTATCCCATGCAGATGGAACAGATTGAGATCAGTCCGCACTGTTGCGCCCACTTCTCCTGGCGGGCAAAGCTACGGCTCCTCGATGCCCACAGGAACGGAGAAGTCTTGAGGCTGTGGGTCAGCGTTGAGGCTGTGGGTCAGCGTTGAGGCTGTGGGTCAGTCTTGAGGCTGTGGGTCAGTGTTGAGGCTGTGGGTCAGAGTTGAGGCTGTGTGTCAGTCTTGAGGCTGTGGGTCAGTGTTGAGGCTGTGGGTCAGTGTTGAGGCTGTGGGTCAGTCTTGAGGCTGTGGGTCAGTGTTGAGGCTGTGGGTCAGTGTTGAGGCTGTGGGTCAGTGTTGAGGCTGTGGGTCAGCGTTGAGGCTGTGGGTCAGCGTTGAGGCTGTGGGTCAGTCTTGAGGCTGTGTGTCAGTGTTGAGGCTGTGTGTCAGTGTTGAGGCTGTGGGTCAGTGTTGAGGCTGTGGGTCAGTGTTGAGGCTGTGGGTCAGCGTTGAGGCTGGGGGTCAGTGTTGAGGCTGTGTGTCAGTCTTGAGGCTGTGTGTCAGTGTTGAGACTGTGTGTCAGTCTTGAGGCTGTGGGTCAGCGTTGAGGCTGTGTCAGTGTTGAGACTGTGTCAGCGTTGAGACTGTGTGTCAGTGTTGAGACTGTGTCAGCGTTGAGGCTGTGTGTCAGCGTTGAGGCTGTGGGTCAGTGTTGAGGCTGTGTGTCAGCGTTGAGGCTGTGGGTCAGTGTTGAGGCTGTGGGTCAGTGTTGAGGCTGTGGGTCAGTGTTGAGGCTGTGTGTCAGTCTTGAGACTGTGTCAGCGTTGAGGCTGTGTGTCAGTCTTGAGACTGTGGGTCAGAGTTGAGGCTGTGTGTCAGTCTTGAGGCTGTGGGTCAGCGTTGAGGCTGTGTGTCAGCGTTGAGGCTGTGGGTCAGTGTTGAGGCTGTGGGTCAGTGTTGAGGCTGTGTGTCAGTGTTGAGGCTGTGTGTCAGTGTTGAGGCTGTGTGTCAGTGTTGAGGCTGTGTGTCAGCATTGAGGCTGTGTGTCAGTGTTGAGGCTGTGTGTCAGTGTTGAGGCTGTGTGTCAGTGTTGAGGCTGTGTGTCAGTGTTGAGGCTGTGTGTCAGTGTTGAGGCTGTGTCAGTCTTGAGGCTGTGTGTCAGTGTTGAGGCTGTGTGTCAGCGTTGAGGCTGTGGGTCAGCGTTGAGGCTGTGTCAGTGTTGAGACTGTGTCAGTGTTGAGGCTGTGTGTCAGTGTTGAGGCTGTGTGTCAGTGTTGAGGCTGTGTGTCAGTGTTGACACTGTGTGTCTGTGTTGAGACTGTGTGTCAGTCTTGAGACTGTGTCAGTGTTGAGGCTGTGGGTCAGCGTTGAGGCTGTGTCAGTGTTGAGACTGTGTGTCAGTGTTGAGACTGTGTGTCAGTGTTGAGGCTGTGTGTCAGCGTTGAGGCTGTGTGTTAGTCTTGAGACTGTGGGTCAGTCTTGAGGCTGTGGGTCAGCGTTGAGGCTGTGGGTCAGCGTTGAGGCTGTGTCAGTGTTGAGGCTGTGTGTCAGTGTTGAGGCTGTGTGTCAGCGTTGAGGCTGGGGGTCGGCGTTGAGGCTGTGGGTCAGCGTTGAGGCTGTGTCAGTCTTGAGGCTGTGGGTCAGAGTTGAGGCTGTGTGTCAGCGTTGAGGCTGTGTATCAGTGTTGAGGCTGTGTGTCAGTGTTGAGGTTGTGTGTCAGTGTTGAGGCTGTGTCAGTGTTGAGGCTGTGTGTCAGTGTTGAGGCTGTGGGTCAGTGTTGAGGCTGTGGGTCAGTGTTGAGACTGTGTGTCAGCGTTGAGGCTGTGGGTCAGTGTTGAGGCTGTGGGTCAGTGTTGAGACTGTGGGTCAGTCTTGAGGCTGTGGGTCAGTGTTGAGGCTGTGGGTCAGTCTTGAGGCTGTGTGTCAGTCTTGAGGCTGTGTGTCACTGTTGAGGCTGTGTGTCAGTGTTGAGGCTGTGGGTCAGTGTTGAGGCTGTGTGTCAGTGTTGAGGCTGTGGGTCAGTCTTGAGGCTGTGGGTCAGTGTTGAGGCTGTGGGTCAGTGTTGAGACTGTGGGTCAGTGTTGAGGCTGTGTGTCAGTCTTGAGGCTGTGTGTCAGTGTTGAGGCTGTGTGTCATTGTTGAGACTGTGTGTCAGTGTTGAGACTGTGTGTCAGTGTTGAGGCTGTGGGTCAGCGTTGAGGCTGTGTGTCAGCGTTGAGGCTGTGGGTCAGCGTTGAGGCTGTGGGTCAGTGTTGAGGCTGTGGGTCAGTGTTGAGACTGTGTCAGCGTTGAGGCTGTGTGTCAGTGTTGAGGCTGTGTGTCAGTGTTGAGGCTGTGGGTCAGTGTTGAGGCTGTGTGTCAGTGTTGAGACTGTGTCAGTGTTGAGGCTGTGTGTCAGTGTTGAGACTGTGTCAGTGTTGAGGCTGTGTGTCAGTGTTGAGGCTGTGTGTCAGTCTTGAGGCTGTGGGTCAGTCTTGAGGCTGTGGGTCAGTCTTGAGGCTGTGTGTCAGCGTTGAGGCTGTGGGTCAGTGTTGAGGCTGTGTGTCAGTGTTGAGGCTGTGTGTCAGTGTTGAGGCTGTGTGTCAGTGTTGAGGCTGTGTGTCAGTCTTGAGGCTGTGGGTCAGTCTTGAGGCTGTGGGTCAGTCTTGAGGCTGTGTGTCAGTGTTGAGGCTGTGTGTCAGTGTTGAGACTGTGGGTCAGTGTTGAGGCTGTGTGTCAGTGTTGAGGCTGTGTGTCAGTCTTGAGGCTGTGTGTCAGTGTTGAGGCTGTGTGTCATTGTTGAGACTGTGTGTCAGTGTTGAGGCTGTGGGTCAGCGTTGAGGCTGTGTGTCAGTCTTGAGGCTGTGTGTCAGTGTTGAGGCTGTGTGTCAGTCTTGAGGCTGTGGGTCAGTCATGAGACTGTGGGTCAGCGTTGAGGCTGTGGGTCAGCATTGAGGCTGTGTGTCAGTGTTGACACTGTGTGTCAGTGTTGAGGCTGTGTGTCAGCGTTGAGGCTGTGGGTCAGCGTTGAGACTGTGCCATTGCTGAGGGCATGTGCCGGTGTTCAGAATGCATGTTACTGTTGAGGCCATGGGTTCATGTTGAGGCGGTGGGTCAGCGTTGAGGTTTTGTGTCGGCGTTCGGGCTTTGAGTTCGAGCAGCTCCCGTGTGTGGCGGTGTGTTGAGCTTGCGCGGCGTGTTAACCCCACCGCGTCACAACGCGTGGCGCGTTGTGATGCATCCAGGCCGTGCTGCGCAACCGCTGGGCTGCCCTCTACCTGCTGTTGTCTCTGGCCGAGAACCCACGGAAGCCTCACGCCAAGGTAAAAGCGGAGTGCCGGATTCACTCGGCTCCTCGCTGCACGATCCACAAGACCATACGTGGGCAGAGACACGCCGGTCGGCGATTTCGTCGGGCGTGCGATTTGATTGCCGTGACAGCGCCAGCGTGAACCTGACGAGGTTTAAATTGGCCGGTCGACGCATCAATAGCTTCTGTACCCCCCCCCCCCTCCTCCACCGACCCTAACGCACGATCTCTCGGCCCGCCCGCCCGCCCGCCCGCGCAGCTCCTGAGCGGCTCCGCGCTGTTTGGGAACGGCCTGCCCCTCCTCGTCCACTCCACCCCGGCCCCGCGGCCCCAGAGCCTCCCGCTGCCCCTGCTCGAGGTGGCGTGCGGCGCCGGGCAGGCCGGCGGGATGGTGCCCTGCCCCGGTCTCCAGCAGCAGCAGCAGCAGCGGCAGCAGCGGCAGCGGGGGGGGCTTGCGAGTTCCGCGAGTTTCGGCAGCAGTGGAGTGAGCAGCGTCACTCCGAGCGGGATGCGCGGTCCCACGCCGACGCCCGACAGCCTCTACCCGGGGTGGGTTGACACCCGCGGCACGTTGCTGCTGGTTTCCGTTCCATTTGTTCGGCGCAGGATAGCCCCCGTGAGCCGTTCGGCTCTTGAATCGGGCGCAAGCCGCAAGAAGCCAAACAAAACACGAACAAGAAAAATATCTTAAAAGTGACTTTGTGTGTGTGTGATATGGTAAATAGGTTTTTACCCTTTTAACCGGCGCAAAAACCGACACCTTTATTCAAGGCATCATGTTTGCAATAACCACAACACTAGCAGTCAAAATGCAAACAAAAAGAGACAACTCTCTTTTTCTTTTTTAACTGGCACAAAAACCTATTTACTATATATCTTGTTACTGGCAAAGGAGGTCTCTCAATGTAAATGCTCACCCCGAGCCCTCAATACTCTGATGGTGCGCTGTTTTTTGAGCTGTACGCCTTTTGGCGTCTTCTGGTCCAACACCGGTGGAGACTAAGGGCTCTAAGAAAAGTCGTCTCGGGTGTGGACCAATCAAATTCAAGGACAGTGCCAATATCATTATCAGAGTTGTCTCTTTTTGTTTGCATTTTGACTGCTTGTGTTGTGGTTATTGCAAACATGATGTCTTGAATAAAGGTGTCAGTTTTTGCGCCGGTTAAAAGGGTAAAAGCCTATTACTATATCTTGTTACTGGCAAAGGAGGTCTCTCAGTGTAAATGCTCACCCCGAGCCCTCAATACTCTGATGGTGCGCTGTTTTTTGAGCTGTACGCCTTTTGGCGTCATCTGGTCCAACACCAGTGGAGACTAAAGGGCTCTAAGAAAAGCCGTCTCGGGTGTGGACCAATCGAATTCAAGGACAGTGCCAATATTATTATTATCAGAGTTGTCTCTTTTTGTTTGCATTTTGACTGCTTGTGTTGTGGTTATTGCAAACATGATGCCTTGAGTAAAGGTGTCAGTTTTTGCACCGGTTAAAAGGGTAAAAACCTATTACTATATCTTGTTACTGGCAAAGGAGGTCTCTCAATGTAAATGCTCACCCCGAGCCCTCAATACTCTGATAGTGCGCTGTTTTTTGAGCTGTACGCCTTTTGGCGTCTTCTGGTCCAACACCGGTGGAGACTAAGGGCTCTAAGAAAAGCCGTCTCGGGTGTGGACCAATCGAATTCAAGGACAGTGCCAATATCATTATCAGAGTTGTCTCTTTTTGTTTGCATTTTGACTGCTTGTGTTGTGGTTATTGCAAACATGATGCCTTGATTTAAAGCTTTCGTGACTGCAAGGATTCATCTTCTTTGGTTCTTTCGGTAAAGTCACGTAGAATGCGTTATTTTATTAATTCATTATTTTATTCTCATTCTACGTGACTTTACCGAAAGAACCAAAGAAGATGATGCCTTGAATAAAGGTGTCAGTTTTTGCGCCGGTTAAAAGGGTCAAAACCTATTACTACGTCTTGCTACTGGCAAAGGAGGTCTCGTAATGTGACTGTGTGACTTTGTGCAAACAGAAAATCCGTGCAAACAGAAAATCCATAGTGGAGGATTTTTGTTTTTTTTGGGTTAGATCGCTTGAAGATTTTCTCATGCTGATTTGAAGCCTTCGTGACTGCAGGAATCCCTGCTCCGTGGTTCTTTCGGTAAAGTCCACGTTGAAGGGAAACAATAACATGATGAAATACATATGTATAGCAATACAATTCTCACGACGTTTTGACTGCAACAGCAAGCAGTCGTCATCAGGTGTGAAAACCAGCGGCAAGAACATTTGAAAGAAGCGGCGCTGGTTTTCACGCCCTGATGGTGGCTGCTTGGTGTTGCAGTCGAAACGTCGTGAGAATTTTATCGTTTTCTGCATATATATATTTTATTATTTTATTGTTTCCCTTCAACGTGACTTTTACCGAAAGAAACCAGGGATATGAATCACTGCAGGTCACGAAAGCTTTAAATCGAAACATTTCATATTCTTAGCTCTTTCGGTAAAGTCACATTGAAGGGAAGCCATAAAATAATAAAATATATATAAAACAATAAAAATTCTCACGACGTTTCGACCATAACACAAACGGTCGTCATCAGGTGTGTTGGTTTGCATTAATTTATTTATTTTTAAACGGTGTATTTATTTATAAAAAACGTCAGCGCCACGCGTAGCGATTTGGCAGTTTATTAAGAAGGACTAGTCCATCTATGTTCTGAAAAGAGGAGGGGGGAGACGAAAAATTAATGTATGCTGTCTGAAAGCCACCGTAAGCGTGAACAATCAATTAAGACGTGAAATGGTTTATCAAATCCTTCCAATGATTGCTAAGCCAGAATCCATCTTCTCGGTTGAAATTGTCTCTGTGCTTGTTATATGTGGATAGCCTCATGAACGAATCTCTCATGGTAGCCAGATGGCTTACAAATATATATTTATTATTTTATTGTTTCTCTTCAACGTGACTTTACCGAAAGAGCTAAGAATATGAATTACTGCAGTCACGAAAGCTTTAAATCAAAATAAAACGAAACATTTCGGTCGTGATATTAGTTTAATTTTATTTCTAACTGCATGAGACTTTATCCGAAAGAACCAAAGAGTTTCGATTTAAAGCTTTCGTGACCGCAATGATTCATCTTCTTTGGTTCTTTCGGTAAAGTCACGTAGAATGAGAATAAAATAATAAATTTATAAAATAAAATAACACAATATTATTTTATTCTCATTCTACGTGACTTTACCGAAAGAACCAAAGAAGATGAACCAAAGAGTATTTTTAAAATGTGTCGCTAAAACCCCGCCACCACCCGACACAGCCGCCAACTCGTATGGGTTGTCACGTCAAGAAAAAATGGGGGCCAATTCGTCACAAACTGAGTAAATGTTGTGGTTTGGTTCTCCAACGCACAACCGGTGTGCTGTATTAGTCCACTGCACTATACACTACACTATACACTACACTATACACTACTATACACTACACTATACACTACTATACACTACACTGTACACTACACTATACACTACACTATACACTGCACATATACACTACACTATACTACACTATACACTACACTATACACTATACTACACTATACACTTTACACTACTACACGATACACTACACTATACACTACTATACACTACGCTTTACACTACTATACACTACACTTTACACTACTATACACTACACTTTACACTACACTATACACTACACTTTACACTACATTATACACTACACTATACACTACACTACTATACACTACAATATACACTACTATACACTACACACTACACTATACACTACACTATACACTACACCATACACTACACTATACACTACACTATACACTACACTATACACTACACCATACACACTACACTATACACTACACCATACACTACACTACACACTACACTACACACTACACTATACACTACACTACACACTACACTATACACTACACTATACACTACACTACACACTACCACATACACTACACTATACACTGCACCATACACCACACTACACACTGGTGCTGTACTAGTGACGAAATTGGCCACGTTCTGTGTACGTGACAAACCCCTTCCTGGTCGGCTGTGTCGGTGTGCTTGGCGGGGGTTTTTAACGACACATTTCACGTACGATTATCACGCCATCCAACCCCCGAAAAGCAAAAACAAAAACCTCTACCATGGATGATGTCGCTCGCCCAACTCCTTGCGCGCCAAACGCCGGATTTGCCGCGCGCTGCTTTTAACCGTGCACCGCTTTGTCCGGGGTGCCGTTCTCATCGCCGGTGCCGTTCTCACCGCCGGTGCCGTTCTCACCGCCGGTGCCGTTCTCACCGCCGCCGCCGCCTCCTCCTCCCGCTGTGGGCGCAGGCAGTCTCACCGCACGCCGGCCGACGGCACTGCCCGACAGGCGTGGGCCTCGCAGTCCGGGCCCTACGGCCTGGTGGCCCGCAGCGACGCGCACGGCGCACGCTCCGAGGGCGACGTCAACAGTGAGTCTCCGTCCGTGTGTTTTGTGTTTCGTGTGAGTGAGTGCGGGCGGAGGTGGAGGCGGCGGTCGGCCACGCCGCGCCGCGAAGCCCGGCGAGCCGGGTTCCATTCCCGACACCGGCGGCGATGATTTGAGCCCGTCCTGGGCCTCCCCTAGGTCGACTTCGGTCTCAAATGAGTGCCCGGTGCTGTGTGTGTGTGTGTGTGGGGAGCGGTGGTGTAGTAGCGGTTAGCGCTACGCTGCGCTGCGCTACGAACCTGGCGACCCGGGTTCGATTCCCGCCCACGGCCAACACCGGTGACGATTATCTGAACCGGTCCCGGGCCCTCCCCTAGGTCGACTCGGCCTCAAATGAGTACCTGGTGCGGTGTGTTAAACGTTGCCACTGGGGAGACAAAGGCGGTCGGGCGTGGTGCTGGCCACCCACCCCCTCGTGTGCCGTTCCGGCCTTCATAGGTGTTCGCTAACAGCACTTGCCCCTACAGTCTGTTAAGGCTACATGGGGGATCTTTATCTTTGTGTAGTGAACATCGCCGCTGGGGAGACAAAGGCGGCCGGGCGTGGTGCCGTTGGCCACCCCCCCCCCCCTTCATTGTGCCGTTGGGGGGGGGGGCCATCGTAGGTGCCGCTCGCTAACAGCACTTGCCCCGGCAGTCTGTGCAGGCTATACGGGGATCTTTGTCTTTTCTTTCGGGGGGGGGGTGGTTGTCGGGCGTGGTGCTGGCCACCACCACCACCCCCCTTGTGCGCCGTGCCCACTTCCATAGCTCCGCTCGCAAACAGCACTCGCCTGAAACGTCTGTTGAGGCCATACGGGGGATCTTTGTCTTTGGGGGTGAGAGAGTGCGGGGGGGGGAGCGGCGGCGTGCTGCACACTGCGAACCTGGCGACCCGAGTTCGATTCCCCGCTCACGACCCACAACACCGGCGGTGATTTTACGATCCGGCCCTGGGCCTTCCCAGAAGGGTCGGCTCGGCCTCACATGAGGGCCTGGCGCGGTGCGTGTTAAGCATCGCCGCTGGGGAGACAAAGGCGGCCGGGTTCTCACCAGCAACCCTTGCCCGAACGCAGGGTGGTCCATTTGTCTTCGCGTGAGTGAGACTTACACGTACGTCGATGGTGATGATGATGAAGAAGCAAATGATTCTGTGGCTATTGGTGACGCTGACGATGCATCGCCTGGTATGCAGGAGGCCAAGGGCTCGATCTGGAGCCCCCGGCACCTGCTGTATATTTTGACTTTGCTTGCTCTCCCCTTGTTGCCTTGTGGACTGTTCACCGCGTCCCTCCGCATTTATAATGGAATACGCGTTTTGATGATTTGGCCCGATGTAAATTTCCACACGACAAGCCCCTTCTTCGAGCTATTGTTTGTGATGGTCAGGGGGGGGGGGGGCCCTTTAACTGGTAAAATACATTTTTATTTAAAGCTTTCGTGACTGCATTGATTAATATCCTTGGTTCTTTCGGTAAAGTCACGTTGAAGGGAAACAATAAAATAAACAGGTCCCTGCAGGGTGGGATGGTAGGACAAGTCTATGCGCTGTCTATTGCTGATTTTACACCCAACAGCACGAGATTTCACTTCGTTAAAGTATTGAAAGGGGACGGACGGACGGACACATTAATCTATTGCAGGCTGGTACACTCAGTTTACAACTTCGTTCCTACCAGTATAAAATATATATAAAACAAAAAAATTCTCACGACGTTTCGACTGTAACACAAAGTCATCATCACACCTGTTTCGACTGTAACACAAACAGTCATCATCACACCTGATGACGACTTGTTTGTGTTACAGTCGAAACGTCGTGAAGAATTTTATTGTTTTAGATATATATATTTTATTATTTTACTGTTGCCCTTCAACGTGACTTTTACTGGTAAAATAAAGTGAAATAGTTTCAATGGATAGTCCCGCTGATGCCTCTGCTCTGCGGCCCTGTGTGTGTGCGTGTGTGTGCTGCAGCCTCCGTGGAACTGTCTGAGTCGTTGCTGGTGCGCGATCTGCTCTACGTCTTCCAGGGGATCGAGGGGACCTACGTGAGGTTGAGCCAAACCGAGGGGGCTTACCTCATAGACCCCAAGGTACCCCCCATCTTCTCCTGAACCCCCGGTCGAAACGCGTGCAAGCCCCTTGTGCAACGATTATTATTCTTGGTTCTTTGGGCGAAGTCGCCACGTTGGAAGGTTGGAAGCGACGAAATAATAAAAAACATAAAATGAGACGGTTCTCGCGACGTTTCGACTGCGACGTTGATGGCAGTGATCTTGATGATCGTGATAACGATATCGATGTTGATGACAGTGATCTTGATGATCGCACTACACTGTATAATGAATACCACATAGTAAACTGACGAAAAAAAATCTAAAATATAAACTATATCGATATTATCAATAAACTCAATATATAATATATCTCTACGTGACTTTACCTAAATTAACCACGTTGATGAATCCCCGCAGTCACGAAAGCTTTAAATCGGAATTTACTCTGCGGTTCTTTGGGTAAGGTGGCGTAGTTTGAAATCGAATCGTAACAAATCCCGAACGTTTCCACCGCAGCAGCAGCAGCAGCAGCGAGCGGTCGTCATCGGGCAAAGGATGATGACCACCGCTCGCTCGTGTCGATTTTATTTATGACTACGTTGACGTGTCGACTTTTTGACCGTAAGAAGCAAAGAGTTTCGGATTCCTGCAGACGGGACGGCTCACAACCGATGCTCCTGTTGTTTGTGGAGTAACTCGCGCAGGCCAGCTATGGCTCTAGGGTTTGGTGTTACGCGTTGTTTACGTAGTTTATCGTAAAAATTGGGTCACAGTCCCTGCGAATCACTGTTACGTTGCAATTATGGCTTTATTTTTTGGTGATTCGTTTTGTTGCGGTACGGAGTTAGACTGACGGCCTTAATCTAAGTTTTTGTGGTTGTTGTTATTATTAGCTCTTTCGGTAAAGTCACGTTGAAGGGAAACAATAAAATAATGGCTTTATAAAATAATAATAAATATAAAGCAATATTTTTATATATATTTTATTGTTTCCCTTCAACATGACTTTACCGAAAGAGCTAAGACAATATTTTTATATTTTTTTTATTATTTTATTGTTTCCCTTCAACGTGACTTTACCGAAAGAGCTAAGAATGTGAATTACTGCACTCACGAAAGCTTTAAATCAAAAGTTGTTGTTGTTGTTGTTTGACTTTTCATCCCACTGGGATTTTTTATTGCACACGGCGTTGGTGGTTGTACACGGTGCTTTTTTCAGGAATATTTTTTCAGTTTTTTTTGTTTTCCCCCCCATGGATTTTCTGTTCGCACAAAGTCACGCGCAGTCACTTCAAGATGTTTGTATTGTTCGTGTTTTTGTTTAGCTTGTTGTTGTTGTTGGTTGCACCCGATTCAAGAGCCGCATGGCTCACAGGGGGCTATACACCAAAATAAACTGAACTGTACTGTAATGATTTTTGTTGTTGTTGTTGTTGTTTCCTGAAACAGGTGGGAGCCCCCAAGTCGCTGCGGGATGTGACGGCACGCCTCTCCGAGATCGGCTGGCTGCACAACAAGGCCCGCAAGTACATCGACCAGCGTGCGCTCGACCGCGCCTTCGGCCTCGTGGGGCAGGTGAGTTGGGGGGAGGGGGGGCGCTGGATGGGGGGCCGGGGGGATGGCGGAGTGAGTAGGTGGGTGGAGGTGGGGGGGGCTGAGTGAGTGAGTGGGGGGCAGCTGAGTGAGTGGGGGGCAGCTGAGTGAGTGGGGGCAGGTGAGTGAGTGAGTGAGTGGGGTGGGGGGGCTGAGTGAGTGAGTGGGGGGCAGCTGAGTGAGTGAGTGAGTGGGGGGCAGCTGAGTGAGTGAGTGGGGGGCAGCTGAGTGAGTGAGTGGGGGGCAGCTGAGTGAGTGAGTGGGGGGCAGCTGAGTGAGTGAGTAGGGGGCAGCTGAGTGAGTGAGTGGGGGCAGCTGAGTGAGTGAGTGGGGGGCAGCTGAGTGAGTGGGGGGCAGCTGAGTGAGTGAGTGGGGGGCAGCTGAGTGAGTGAGTGGAGGGGCAGCTGAGTGAGTGAGTGGGGGGGCAGCTGAGTGAGTGGGGGGCAGCTGAGTGAGTGGGGGGCAGCTGAGTGAGTGAGTGGGGGGCACCTGAGTGAGTGAGTGGAGGGGCAGCTGAGTGAGTGAGTGGGGGGCAGCTGAGTGAGTGAGTGGGGGCGGGGGCTGAGTGAGTGAGTAGGTGGGGGGCAGCTGAGTGAGTGAGGGGCAGCTGAGTGAGTGAGGGGCAGCTGAGTGAGTGAGTGGGGGCGGGGGCTGAGTGAGTGAGTGGGGGCGGAGGCTGAGTGAGTGAGTGGGGGCGGGGGCTGAGTGAGTGAGTGGGGGGCGGGCTGAGTGAGTGAGTGGCAGCTGGGTGAGTGAGTGGGGGGCAGCTGAGTGAGTGAGTTTGGGCAGCCAACATCGGCGAATATCCGAACCAGTCCTTGGGCCCCCCCCCCGATAAGCGCGGCTGATTGCGTACGGTGTGAAATAAGATCTACATATATAAATGCATACATAGGTCAGCTCAGCCTTAAACGGAGTACCTGGTGCGATGTGTAAACATTTGCCCACTGGGGACACGTGCACGGCCGAGCATGGTGCTGATCACCCGCCCGCCCGCCCGCCCGCTCGCGAGGCGTGCCAGGCCTCCGGAAGGCGTAAACCCGCGTGCCCGTGCCCTCCTTCTCTGCAGAGCTTCTGTGCCGCACTCCACCAAGAGCTCAAGGAATTCTATCGGCTCATCTCCGTGCTTCACTCCCAGGTGGCGGGACACCGCGCACGCAAAATCGCATAAGTAACAACGACCGCCACTCCTCGCCCCTCCGGTTGATGGGAAGGCGGGCCCAAAGTAGCCTGGGGCTTGCAGCTTCGCACGCATCGCCGCCACGCTCCCAACGGCCCCCTTCATTCTTTTGCTCAGAAGAAGAGCCACTCCCCCGTTGTTTGGCGGTCTCCTGCCCCGAGTAGAGGGCTGTCCCTCCCCTCATGGTGGCAGGAGCCAGAGCCGGTGCACCGGACCTCCCGAATGCCGCAGAGATCCAGGCGGTACCTGTCCAGCTCCCGACAGAGGAGTGGCAGCCTCTCCTCCGCAGTGAGCGTTCGAACATTCCACGTGGCCACCCACAGTGGCTTTTTGCTGTTTACTGAGGAACCCTTAGGGAAGGGTTGGGGAACATTTTTTTTTTTTGCCAAGGGCCGTTTGGACATTTATGTAACGTCATCCGCGGTGCCACGCAAAATGATCAACTTAAAGATTAGCCACCGTTATATATTTGGTCGAACGTTTTAATGAACTCTCGCCCCCTCAATGCGATGGGCTGGAACCGCGTCTCTTTGGCGAGGCGCGCGGTGATGACGTTAGCCGGCATTGTCGACGACGTTGCTGCCACTTGTGTCGGCTCTTCCAGGTTTGCTTCTAGATTTGTTGAACTTCGAGTCCCGCCTATGGTTGCCTTGGCAGGGCCAGCAAAACCCAAAATGATTTTTGCGGGCCTCCCCGCGCCCCTGTTTTAAATGAACTCAAGCTTGTTCCCCCCCGATGTTCGTCCGCATTGCAAATTTGCGGTGCCCCGTATTGATGATGGTGATGTTGATGCTGGTGATCGTGATAACGATATTGGTGGTGGTGATATCGATGTTGATGACGGTGATCTTGACGATGGTGATGACGATATTGATGACGGTGATATTGATGTTGATGACAGTGATCTTGATGACCGTGATAACGGTATTGATGATGGTGATATCGATGTTGATGGTGATATCGATGTTGATGTTGATATCGATGTTGATGACAGTGATCTTGATGATCGTGATAACGGTGTTGATGATGGTGATATGGATGTTGATGACGGTGATCTTGACGACCGTGATAACGGTGTTGATGATGGCGATATCGATGTTGATGACGGTGATCTTGACGACCGTGATAACGGTGTTGATGATGGCGATATCGATGTTGATGACAGTGATCTTGATGATCGCTATAACGGTGTTGATGGTGATATCGATGCTGATGGTGATTTGGATGTTGATGGTGATATGGATGTTGATGAGAGTGATCTTGACGACCGTGATAACGGTGTTGATGATGGTGATATGGATGTTGATGACGGTGATCTTGACGACCGTGATAACGGTGTTGATGTTGATGGCGATATGGATGTTGATGACGGTGATCTTGATGATCGCTATAACGGTGTTGATGATGGTGATATCGATGCTGATGGTGATTTGGATGTTGATGGTGATATGGATGTTGATGAGAGTGATCTTGACGACCGTGATAACGGTGTTGATGATGGCGATATGGATGTTGATGACGGTGATCTTGACGACCGTGATAACGGTGTTGATGTTGATGGCGATGTCGACTGCCGCAGCTGAACGTGGAGGAAGACCTCGGCGTGAATGTTGGCCCAGAGGGCTCCCTCACCCTGCGTCGTCTCCTCGTCTGGACGTCCGAGCCCCGGCAGCGTCTCCACTCGCTCGCCGCGCTCGTAGATCGCTGCCACGGTGAGAGCACGCTAGCCACACGCTTACCCCTCACACTTGACCTACACGCTAGCCGCACGCTTACCCCTCACTCGACCTACACGCTAGCCGCACGCTTGCGACGTGCCTCGAATACAGGAACACGCTTATATGCAGTGAGGCCAAAGACGAGGGAGAGCGGGTGCTTGAGGCAACAGTGAAAATCAATGTGTCGTAACCCTCCACCACCCGACACGGCCAATCAGCAAAAAAAGTGTCACGTTGACACTTGTGGATTCACTCTTCAACACACCGGTGGGCTAAAGTAGTGAATTATTTGTCTGAGTACTCAGTTTGAGTACTCAAAGTTTGAGTACTCAAACTGTAAATGTGGATTCACTCTTCAACACACCGGTGGGCTAAAGTAGTGAATTATTTGTCTTTTGTCAACGTGACACTTTTTTTTGCTGATTGGCCGTGTCGGGTGGTGGAGGGTTACGACACATTTATAAATAAACGCGATCTAACCCAAAAACCTTTATTATGAATAATATTGGTCGCGAAAGCCTACGTGTTAAACTAAGTGAAAATCAAACAATGAAATTCAACACAAGGTCCCGAACGCAGATAGGGGTGAACGGCGCCCTCGCACACCCGCTACCTGGTGAGGTTTGGCCCCTCCGGGCCATCGTTTGCCTCCTCACACTGGGGGCCTCTCTGCAGGGGGGCCCCTAAGGGGGGAGGGGGGTGGGGGGCTACCCTGACCCTGACTCGACCCAGCCAAGGTCCTCGGGTCTCGGACGCTGGCCCACTACAGTCCCGGGCCTTACAAGGACGTCGGTGTCTGGGTGTACCCAGGCTCCTACTCGAAGCCGTACAGGGGGCCCGGCTTTTATCCACCCTGGGGGAGGTCTCCACGCGCCTGGCCGCGCCTCCCTTGCGAACCGTTTTAGGGGATCCTGGAATATTCCCTCAGCCCCCCCCCCAACCCCCCTTCTCTCGGGGTCTGGGGGGGAACCATAGCGGCCCACAGACCCCCACCCCCTGCTGACGTACGTCTGCTGCTGCAGGTAGGTGACCACAGTACGTTAATGGAGCGCTACACTTGTTACGCGTACATTGGGAACGCGCGTATGTATGCTGATGTTATTCTTAGTTTTTTCGGTAAAGTCACGTTGAAGGGAAACAACAAAATAATAAAATACATATAAAAAACAATAAAAAAATTCTCACGACGTTTCGACCATAACTCAAACGGTCCACGACGTTTCGACCATAACTCAAACGGTCCACCGTTTGAGTTATGGTCGAAACGTCGTGAGAATTTTTTTTATTGTTTTATAAATATTTTATTATTTTGTTGTTTCCCTTCAACGTGACTTTACCGAAAAAACTAAGAATATGAATTACTGCAGTCACGAAAGCTTTAAATCAAAATTTTATGCTGATGATGTTGTTGATGGTGACATTGGTGACGACGACGCTGTTGATTATGTTGACATTATCAGGGTTATGTTTTTTTGTTTGCGTTCCGACCGCAGGTATTGTGGTCAATGCAAACGTGACAGTTTTGTTGCCGGATAAAAGGGTGAAAAACCAATTGTCATGTTGTAATAGGTTTTTACCCTTTTAGCTGGCACAGAAACTGACACCTTTATACGAGGGATCATGTTTGCAATAACCACAACACAAGCAGTCAAAATGCAAACAAAAAGAGACAACTCTGATAATAATATTGGCACTGTCCTTGAATTTGATTGGTCCACACCCGAGATGGCTTTTCTT